CAAAACTCCTGTGGAATGCCTTTCTGCTGGCATTTTGAAGGAAATTCTTTCCTAAATATAAAGTTAACTCAATGAGAAAATTCAGTCTGAGTAATAGTGAATTTTTCATTGGTGTTATCTATCCATTATCAAGGCTATGAGTAGCCATTTCTCTTACTCTATCTTTTTACTATTGAGCCAAGATAAGTCAAGACTTAGGGAGAAGAGACAAAGAAGTGTTTAAAAAATACTTCCATAGTTATTAATATTAATTTTGCAGAAGAACAATCAAAATGTAGTTTGTTTGTTTAATTGTGTGTTCATTTCACTTAAATTGCACAATAAATGACATTTGAAGAGGATAAAGCAATTCTTTGTAGAAGGAATTCAGGCAACGAGAGCAGCTCACAAAAGTGAAAGAAATACTAAGCTAATCTAGGAACACACATTAAAAAAAAAAAATTCTAAAATATTTATCCCTTTCTGATTTTGTGGAAACCATACACTTATCTGCAAATGGATTCTGATGAGAAGTCCCCAGCCAGTTCCAATATCCACAGTTTATACATGGGTGTCCTCTTTTTATGAATATTTAGTAATTACAAATCTCTTCACATAGGATAATCATTTTTGGGTTTGAGCTGTTGAGCAACAACCATCCACTTAGATATCTTTTGGAGCACTCTGGAGCAGAGGTGAATTGCAATGTGACTTACTTTGACATCTCCACAATAATTTGGTGCTTTCCAACAAATAAGGAACTCATATGAAGGATTCACATACCTCACACGACTGTGCCTGAGCACACACGAGTTCACAGGGTGTTTGGCTCACCTCTAACTCACCTGCCCTGGCAGAAGTGTCCATCCAAGAAGGGCACTGATGGTGCACAATGCACATTTAATAAGGGAACGTTGTACCCAGCTAAAGGTCAGATGGCCAGAGCAACACTCATGACAAAACAGGGAAGAGACAAAACAGAGGTTCATGGCCCTGCACACCCAGAGCTGTGGGTGCATCATGTCAGGTCAGGGATCACATCCAGCCTTGATCCATGCCACGGGGCAGTGTGGTTAAAGAAAGCTGATTTAATGCCTTTAATAGGTTCACTGTGTTAGAGTCCAAGCATTCGTGCTCTTACTAGCCTTAAAAAAATTGGAGATAATCATTAGGTTTCTTCATTTTGTGTCTGGTTTAGAGTTTGAAATCCCATAGTTTGGCTCACTGTGTAATGAGGAGTGATGCTCTGAAAGCCATTAGAGTTCTCCCTCCCACAAGGGAATCAGAAGCTGAAAGATAAACACACCAAATGAACTAATGTAGAAATCATTCTCTATACTCCCAGTGCTCTGAAAAGGGGATATGTTTATGAATAATTATTACTCTAAAAACCACAACTAGTCCTCTCTTTAATGAAGAGTACATCTGGTACAACTGGTCCTATTTTCTGAAGAGCCAGAAATGCTGTGTTCTGTATATGAGGACACAAAACCGAGGAAACACAATTTCCAATCACTGTGTGACCACTGATTAGTTCCCCAAAGTGGGCATAAGCTGACACGAAGTTCTTTCTGTCCAATGTAACTCTCCTGTGCAGTCTTGAAATAAGAGATAAAGAGCAGTTTTTCAGACTAACAAGGTGTGTGAATACCATATTTTTGTTATGCTAAATGTGTTTGGCATCTCTCTAAAATATATTGACAGAGATGACAAAAAGAAATAAAAGCCAACATTAGAGAGAGAGAGAATTCCAGACCTGAACCCCTTCTCATCCCTTTTAGGAAAACACTTTGGTACGAGGGGTTCTTACTGGGGGTTGCTGGGATGCAGTTCAATCCATTTTGCCAAAATTATCACCTGTTTGGAAGCTGCAGAAAGGATTGGAAGAATCAGTGGACACAGCTAGCCTATACCAACAGAGAAGGGACTGCCTTGGGAGCACAGTGAGTTCATTTCTTGTCACTGGACTCGGCAGGTATTTTCAGTCAGATAAAAAAAAGCAAACAAAAATAGACAGAGGAGGGTTTTAGTATGTGAAAATATGTGAATTCAGACTTGTGAAAAAAAAAAATAATTTATACTATTCAGCGAAGATTTCTTTTTCCCTCTGAAGGACTCTGTCCTACCAGGAAAGTGCATGTACAGGCAGGGTCATGCTCTCTCTCTCACCCATGAATAACAAATCTCTTCTCTGCCTAGAAAGCCACCCCAGGGGACAGCCCCATAGTGAGGGTATTCCTCATAGGAAGTAGAAGGAAATGAAGGGTTGTACAGCTGCCTGCTGGCTCAAGTGCAAAAACAAAGTGCCAGCCACACTCAATTTTTGAGAAGCAGAACAGGGAACCCCTCTCCTTTCCTTCCTGGGGTGCTCAGGTAGACAGACACTTCCATGTGACCTTCAGAAGTACCTGAGTAATGAGATTCATCCTTCAAAATTCGACAATAACCCAGGCATTCTCTGTGCAACTCTCCTATGCTGACTTGGGAGCATCAGTATTTTTCATGCTTGGAACAAAGTGTCAAAAAGTCCCCTCTTTGGAGACGTGAAAGATATTTGCAATTTTATGCTTATGTTTTCATTCAGTCCCATCCTGAGGTTTAGTTCTGCATCTGAAGGAAAAAACAAATATTATTGTTCCTAATGCTCTTCCTACAGGCTTCCTCCTACCTCTGCTTCTCTCCCTGTGCTGCCCTGTCCCCTCCATCCAAGCCAGCCCAGCTCCTCCAGCCCATCCCCAGCACCAGCTCTCCCAGTGAGATGTTTCAGGCAAACTGTGAACACCTACGTGCGTATCCATCAGGCAATTTATGGCCAAGCCCGAAATGCTGCTGCCAGCTTCCAGCTGTGACTTCTGGCTTGTTTTAACTCCCTGTCATTTAACATCCCTACCACTGAAAATCAATTTCATACTAGAAGGACTGGTGCTGGGGCCTCAGTGCTGTGTGGGGTTTCTGTAAAGACAGCGAAGTGAATTGTTTCAAGTGTTCACTCCCCACATTTGACCCATTTTCTGAGGAGTTTCAGGTTCTCCTCTTGTTCAGGTTAACGGTGTGTAAACCATGACATTATTTTCCAATATTTTTATGCAGGTTCTCCGTGGGTTTAGTTTCACGTTACTTTTTAGAATGATGTTTGGGAGGAGGGAGAAGGTGGTGCTCACTATTTTTTCTGACTTCTGTGAGGACTTTTCATGGAGTGGGAGAATGGGAATGAGAGATTTGTCTGACCTCATTGTCTGACCTGGCACTGTTTGTCTTCCCAAAATGAACAAAGTCATATCCAGCCAAGGGAAACTTCTTCGTTGAGACAATGGGAAGCTTCATTTCATCTTTACCACCTCCAAAGGCTCTCCTTGATTAAAACCTGCTTAAGGAGAAAACAGGTAAGGGGATAAACAATTCTACAAAAATGTCCCTTTTCTTCTTTTGCCCTGACTATCTACCACTTACATTTTTTGCCTGGTTACTTTTGCTTTCTGTATACAAAAGACCACAAAAGACTGAATTGTTTGTGGAAAGCTCTCTATCTTTGTTGTAAATTGGTTTTGATTGCCAATATTTTGACAAGGACAAATCTCAACCCTCAACACATTTCAGAGCTATGCCTTTTAGGCCAAAATTTAGAGTCAAAAGAATGTGGACCCCTACCACTGTGTAGAAACTACCATAAACACATTCAAGCATTAACTGAGAAAGCCATTTAAAAGTAGAAATTGGGTGCTGATAAAAACAAATTAATTTTTTCATTAGATGTGCTTGTGCTCAAGGAATGGAAGAGCATCTCTTATCAAAAAAAGAGAGTCAGAAAGACTCACAGAGGCTCCCAAAGGGCTACAAGTCAGGCCTATGAGATGGCTGATCCAATGAGACTGACTGATTATAGATTTTGTAACATCAAAATCTAAATCAAAACTAAGAAAAAAGTTTTAGAAGTTTCTTCTTAAGTAACCTATATTTCCCTCAAGGAATCCAGTGGTAAAACTCCTAGAGGGATGTAGTTAAGCCAAATGAACAACATTTTAAACTCCTTGGCTGTACTGCAAAATCATGTTAATGGCTTTGTGTATGCTTTTCCATGAAATGCTCCTCACAGTGATTTGTGTGGAATGTTTACAGTCTTGCATACTGCTCTCTTGTCTGATAATTCACAATATCCTCACTTAAACAAGCAGACACAAAATAATCAAACTTGACAAGCCAAAGAAAAGGAGTGCTGGCAGATATGGAAAACACTGAACAGTGGGTGGGGATGTACTATTTTCTAAATAAAACACCAGGAATATCAGAGTATAGGATGTGATCTGATAGCAAATTCCTGAGGTTTTGCAATAAAATGGTATTATGCATTGTCATACAATAAACTGTTCACACTGACTGGAAGCAGCACAAAGGACACGTGTCAGCAACAGGGCATTTTGCAACGAGACCAAACTTTAGAAAAATGTGGTTGGGCAACATGAGTGATGGAATTCTTCCCCTGCGTTTTGCTTCTCTCTTCTCTTCTCTTACTATCCCTGCTGAGACGAAGCTCTGAAATGAGCTTGTCATTTTTCGGGATCCTCACATACAAACGCGACGCCAGACATGACTGCAATAATCTGGAGTTAGTGCTGCCTGCTTGAAGATCCTGGCAGGCAAGCAAGCACGTTTTACAACCCTAATTTCTGCAGGCTCACCTCCCACCCCTGAGGTACAGGCTGTCCTCGCCCCCCGGGTGCGCGGGTGTAAATCCCGGCAGCTGCGGCCGCAGCAGCTGCAGGGACACATGTGCTCTGTTTGTGTGTGTGGGAGGGGGTGAGCGTGGTTTGTGTGTGGCTGGAGGGCTTCCCTCTTGGAAATTCTGGCATTAATGACACATCAAACCCTCTCCAAGAGAGTGGATTGAACAGAGCAAAAGAAAGAAAGAAAAAAATTTAAACAGGCAGGCAGGCAGGCTGATGGCTTTTCCTGCAAAGTTTAGGGTTTCAAAAGTTAACTTATAAGCAACTGCAGATGCATGGATAAAACTTACCTTGGACACTATGCAACAGCACCTTCCTTTCCATCAGCATCTCCAACTGGTTGCCTACCTCTGTTGGATTCCCTTGTTGGCCATTAGTGCTGAGTCAGCCACATTAGGTAAGGATTTTGTACTTTTTGATTATTTGACAGTCATTTGGGTGATGGAGTTCATATGTATTTTAAACTGAGATGATCTTGCTTACATTTACTTTTGAATGTGGATTGGAGTGACAGAGGGCTATTATTAGAAAGAATCTCCAAAATAGAATGGAAGTAAGGTTAAAATAAACTACCAAGGTAATGAAGAAGGTCACAGTGATAGCCAAGCATGCTTGTAACACATGATATATTAGATCATTACAGGACTTTCACTTTCCTTTTTTACTTCTTTTTTTTCCACTTTTTTTAAGACATTAAAGACGTGTGAAAATTTTTACTTACTACTAGAAAAAAAAATATTTAAATAGTATATATAGCATTTTCCCATAAACGGAATATATGAAATAAACCATAAAAGAAAAAAAAACAAAACCCCAAACACTTTAAAATAACAATCTCTTCCTCTAGGAAAGAATTATATACACCATATATCAGAGCAACATTATAGTTAATTACACATATAATAATACACAGCTATACAGCCTCTGGCAATAAAAAGTTCATGAGTAATTTCTCTACTACTGTACACGATAAATGTGAGGCTTGTTGCACTGAGTTCAAAGAGGACATAGATTTTACATATGTGGCTTGTTTATACAACTTTATTAATTGACTGTAGGAATACATTTAGAATCATGTTAGACATTATTCAACTAGTGAAAACAGAGTTAATAAAAGAAACTGAGAAAAGCAGTCAGACAAGAGCACAGTGCTGTGAGTGATTATGGATTCAGCTTTGGCAAACTCCAGGGAGGCGCTCCCCCTTAATGGAAATATGTTGCAATATTTTACAAAATTTAATTCTAGTAGAGTTCCAGCTAGTCTTAACAGTGATTGTCAGCCAGCACTCATTAGCTCTATGAAGATAAAACAATGTAAAGCCCTCTTCACTTGAATATCAAAGGGTCACCCAGAAAGTTCTGCAGGACTAAACACAAAGCAAATGACCTTATCGCCTTTATCTTCAAACAATGCCTTTAATTTCTGAAACCTTTTGAAGGGTTGCCAGTTTTATGGAGTGTAGCAGCTACTTATCTACAGAACAAGCTTTTCATCAAGGGGAAATGACCTTTTAACTCCTAGTAACTAAGTAACTGTATTTGCCACTGTATTTTTGTTACTGAAGGTAATATGTATAGACATCCTTATGAAACTGGGAATACAAAACAAGGATTAGGAAGTGCTGTCTCTCAGGTGATGCAGAAGGATTCATAAGGCTTGTTTGTTGTTGTGGGTTTTTTTTCGTAGTGTGAACTTGAAGTAAATGAACCTGCTCAAAAAAGTTTACATTCTGACAGATTGTGTTGTGACATTATAAGGACATTAACAGAGCCATATGCTGTTTACTTATGTATTCTCACAAACCTACTAATCCCATAAGAATTTAACGGTGAATAAGGAATATCTGACCAAAGAGGTTTTGCAGATGCCTCGTTAAGAGCGAGAAGATGAAAAAGTCTCTTAAAGATTAAGGAAGAGCTTTATCATCTTCTGTGGTCTTATTTTAGGTAAAGAACCTCCCAGTGACTGAGGATATTCTGAATATTTGGGGGTTTTATGTGATTTCCTATGACTGAGAAACATGAAAGAGTTACCAACAACAACATCCATAGCTCTCTCTGGTAGAAGATTAAGTAAAGCATCAGGGACAAAAGCAACTCAGTGAATCATAGATATGGGAGGGCTGACACAACACAGAGCTTGTCAGACTTTTCTCAGATTAAATTCTGTAAATAAGTCAATCAAAAGAAAAAGACAGTAGATTTTTACAGGGGTATTTTAGATAAAAACATTTATCTTAGAATAGATAGTTGCTCGTAGCATCACCAGTGAGATGGAATTGCTTCCCATCCCCTCTGGAACCTTTTCATAATGTACAATTGAAAAAGTTTTTAATTTGGATATGAGTTTCCTGCAGAGGCATCCTTGAAGCTCACAAAATCCATGGGAGCTTCACTACAAGGTGAAGTTACTACAGTATATAGTAAAATCAGATATAACTAATTGCTTCTAAGTTTACTCCTCTGGGTTTCCCTGAACTCTGAAACACACAAGAACAAATTCAAGCATATCCAGAGGTGAAGAAAGAAAAGATTGTGTCAGGGGAAGGTGAAGTGCCTACAGCCAGTGTGGAAAGATAGCTTGTTCTCCAATGATCTGAATAGTTTAATTTGATTTAAGAAAGTCAATGAGAATAGTCTAGCATGACAAAAATCATTCAGTATGACTTGTAATTTTATAAGCCCCAGTCTTGCTTTCCATAGAAGAATGAAATGAAAAGCAGACTGTATAATTTGCTTTGTATGCCACCCACAAGCAACCCATGATCTCACTGAGAGCTTCTGCTGTAAAACTTGAGTGCCAGGGTCCGTCCGTGCTGAAAGCTGGACCTGAGAAAACATTTCCCCATGAGCATTTCGAAGGGAATAATTCAAACTATTCAGGACTTCTCCCACCTGCTTCAAGATGACAAACTCTCCCATCCCTTGGGATGCCACCCAGGTCCTCAGGAACCCCTGGAGCCCCAGGGCTTCTTCCACCCTCAGGGTCCCTGAGCACAGCAGGGGTGTGAGCAACCACAGGGAATCCTCAGCATCTGGCCTGGAAAGAGCTTGCAGGGATCAACCTCTCAGGTCATGAGTGGGTTTGGTCAGGGACATTCCCGTGCCTTTGGAAATGACACCGGGATTATTCTATCTCTGTGTCTTCACTCTTTGGAAAGCACAACAGACATTAACAAAGAATACCCTTCCTATGGAAGTAAATCCAAGACTCCCTGGTCATGGCAAACAACTCCTAAAGAGAGAAGAACAACCCTTACAGTATGTTTCTCTCACAACGTTATTTTTAGTTATAAAAAGTTGTTTACAGGTTAATATTTTATTTCCTGTTCTTTAAATTGTGTCAATATCAAGTACTCCAATGACTCCATGGTCTGGAATTATCATAGAATCACAGAGCAGTTTTGGTTGGAAGGGACCTTAAAGATCACCTAGTTCCAACACCCCTCCCATGGGCAGGGATGCCATCCACTAGATCAGGTAACTGGCCCAAATTAAGCTAGTTTTTATTTTTTAAACTAAGATTGAAATCTGAATTTATCTGATTTTATGCTCTCAAAGTGAAGCAGGCATTTTACAATGATTTCTGTTTGCTGGCAACTTTTTTGTTCCACTTTTTTCACATGAGAAAGCACAACAGGGTTATGATTAACACAGGGATAGCTAATTCATAAAGAAGGAGAAATCAGGAGCTGTTGCAGTGTAGGGGCGAAGGAACCTCTTTCACCTTACAGTGAATATGTTTGTGACTCTCCTGAGCTGCATCAGTCCATCACTATCAGATTTTAGAGCTTTGAAATTTGGCAGAGAAACATTCTTTTGCTCAAGCACTTGCCTTTTAATTTCTGATGAAAATTAATGATAGTTTTCAAAGTTATACAGGCTTAAAAAAATGCATTTGGTGTGAGAGGGCTGCCTTTCACCTGCCTCTCTCAAGGATTTGCCTATTTCCCGTTGACCTGCCAAACATGACCTGCCAAGCTTTTTAAACTCCTTAACAGCTATTTATTGCTCTGTGCTGCACTAAAACTGAGGATCAGTTTGTTATACACTGCTCCTAAGAGTATGGGACATTCATGGCCAAAATGTTTCCTTTAATGTTCCAGTTCCTCAGAGTTATTTTGTCTCCAAATGCCAAAGCTCAAGAAGTATTGTGTACATCCGAGTCGCTTTGCAATCGATAGGAACTGCGAGCAGCCAAGACAAATCAGTGTTTGTTCCTAAGGTGACAAGACAGATTTCTGCAGAGAGGAAGCGTCATCATTTTGTTTTACAGATGGGATGGGGACGTGAAGTGGCTCAAGGTCATGCACAAAACCCTTTGGTGAAGCTGAGATCTGTGATGAGGCCTCGTTAGTCACAGCCCGGCCCCATTAACTGTAGCACAGCTCATAACTGGAACAAAAGCCAATATAGGAAATTGGAGTGTAATAAAAATGCTCAGCCTCTCTCCATCTTCCTGGTAAACTCTGAGGTCAAATGGCTACACACAAACTCAAGGGGGCACAAAGCATTTTCAGTGGGTTTTAGACTGCTAAACATGTTTTATGTGGTCAGTACTTGAAATTCTCCCCAAGTCCCCTTTGATTTCAAAGGGAAATGATCCATTCACTTTCCAAAATGCTATATGTCCTTTATCAAACAAATACAGTAGAAGAAAAGAAGGAAAAGCCAATCCTGCACTAGCTTCACATAGACAGAATTTCTTTCCTGATTGTTTCTTCTCCTTCCTCAACCACTTCTGTAGCCTAATAAATTAATTCTGGTTTTGGAAATGGCTCTTTCATTCCAATGTCCTTAATTATTTTTTTTTTTCTTTTTTTTTTTGTGATCTAGACTGGCTGCTCCAAAAGGCTTTGAATATTGTGGAAGTACCATTTTGTTGTTTTTTTCACTGGGTTTCTAATGTACCTCTTTGAAAAGTTTGTTGGAAAAAGCTCTCAAGGCAGCCAGATTACTGCTTTGTCTGATTTTCTCTACAAGTTTGTTCCCTTGGACAGTTTGTTCTGACTTTTTATCTACTTTGTCTACTACCCTGGGTCAAGTGTCTTTCTTGTCACCTCAGAGGCTGAAGTTTAGTGTTGGACATTGCTGATGCCCAACCCACTGCAGAAATGGATATTGTCTTTAGCAGTGTTGGCAGCACATGTTGTTTGTTTAATGATTGTTAAGTTTTCTTCAAACAAGTGTATTTTACCCTGAGTTATGACCTTTATTAATGTCATTGGGGCAGCTACAGATGTGTTTTGCCTTAGGTAGGGATTATTTGTGGTGAAATCTGAAAAACAGGGATTAGATTGAAGAATATTTTTATCTGACTTTGAAACACCAATAAGCCCATGTGTTAGTGCACACAATTGTTTGTACAGCTTTTCTGGGAAGAGTTTTGTGTGTTAA